ATTATAATTAAAACTCCGTAGAAAAGTATAGATAGATAATAATAATTAATTTTGTAATTATTTGTTGTTTGTTTTTCATTTGCGCCTCGAGATCCTGTAGTGCAGTGTATTAGAGTTGCTGCGGTGGTGTGCCGTTATGCTTCGCTGGGCTTTGTTTTGCCATTCCTCTTCCCTTTGTTTTTAGCACTCTCTGGCACTCACGCACACAGACACACACACACACGTGCACACATACTGAAACAAGGACACGGAAGCGTCTTAGTGTTGTTATTGTTTTGTGGGATTTCACTTCAGAATTATATCCACGCACACACACACACAAACACGCACACACATTAGTCGCATTCCTTGCATGATTCCTATTTTGGTTTTCCTACTTGGTCTGCTTCTGCCACATTCCGTTATATATAGCGAATACCAAAATGCGATAAAAGCAGTCAAGAAATTAAAATTGTTAGCCAAAGCTGTTACACACACTCACACACACACACGCCCACGCACACACACGCACGCATGGGCACATTCATGCCTAGCCTGGGGCCGGGAATAGCCAAGGCGTCAGGATAAACTTTCACACATTTATAAATACACACATTAACAGACACACACGCACACAGGCATACAGGATAGACACAAATACATATATACCTAGATATATGCACATGTATGCATACACATATATATATGTATGTACATATGTTTATATCGTGTTCCAACTTGAAATCAGTGAAAAATGTCAAATGAGCAACATTCGTTGACCTAAAAAGAAATCAAATTGCATTCATAAACAAAAAGCAATGGGCGAGAAGCGACAACAAAGAAGAGCTGGAGAGAGGAGAGAGAGAGTGTGTCAATGAGAGAGCGAGTTATATGCAAGTATTTAGCAGCTCTGTTCGCAGTGCAAATTTATCAAACAGTTATGCTCCGCGAGGTCAGTTCGATTAGTTAGAAAAGGCTTGCAGTATTATAATATTGTATTAATATACTCCATTTTGTTATATTCATTTCTGTTCATATATTTTAATATTAACAGAAAAGTTTTTGCTGCAATAATTCTTCATATCGAAATCAATTTTATAGCATTTGCAGTGCTCCAAATTTTATTTGAATTTCCTCTTGAATTTTATGGCTTGGCTTTGTGCGTGGGTTAACCCTCGCTTTTAGTTTTTTTGCTTCTTTTTTCGTGTTGCTCCTTTTCTTCTGCTTCTTCTTCTTGTTCAACTTAACTTTTGTGAAAACGTATTTAGCCTTGGCATATGCAATACTTTATTTTATAGTATCATTGCCTTCATCATTGGCGTCATGAAAAAACACAAAAAATAAAAAACTAC